CAGCAAAGGAGGTTACTTCCGAGGCTTCCCTTCTGAGAAGCAGGAGCCATGACGCGGAGTTTCCACACTGCTGGGCAGGGTGATCTGGCGGCTGGCTCGGCCCGCGGCCGGGGGGCGCAGGGGGCTGTCTCTGTCCCAAGCCCCCGGAGTGGGCAGCATTTCTTTTTTTTTTTTTTTTTTAAAGATTTTTTATTTATTTATTTGACAGAGAGAGAAATAGCGAGAGCAGGAACACAAGCAGGGGGAGTGGGAGAGGGAGAAGCAGGCTTCCCGCAGAGCAGGGAGCCCGATGTGGGACTCGATCCCAGGACCCTGGGATCATGACCTGAGCCGAAGGCAGACGCTTAACGACTGAGCCACCCAGGAGCCCTGGGCAGCGTTTCTGATGCCCAGGCATCTATCGGGGGGATTAATGCTGTGATTCCCAAAGGGGCGCTGGGGAGGAGGGAGCAGTTTGAGACTCAGGCTGGACTTGCCCCCCCACACACTTCCAAAGAAAGGACCCTGGGATGGGGGGACATCTGTGTGAATCCACTTGCAGACGGTTGTAATCACCGTAAGAACTCCAGTTAATGTTTGTAGAGAGCTTAGCACGGTGCTGGCTCTTAGCAAGGGCTATAACACTGCTCGTTAAATAAACACACACACAGGGAAATCTGTGGTGTGCCAAGGACAGGAAGGGGGTGAAGGGTAGAAATAAAGCAGAAGACGGGACTATGGAGCAGAAATGAGTCTGAGCGCCGGGATGGAGCTGGGAGCGGGGACAACAGAACAGAGCTGGACCAGAGAGGCTTCCAGGAGGAGGTGACGGGTGGCTGACGTGGCCAGCTTCTAACCCAGCCAGGGTGCTTTTTGGGTTCTTAGGAATTCTCAGAGGGCAAGCAGGGGTTAGCAAAGCACACGAAGCATCTGAAAACGCTCTGAAGGAAATAACATCCAGAAATTCTTTTGGGGGAAGAAAAAAAATCCCCCAGACAGAGCTTCATGCTTTGGCTGCACTCCAGAACTTTGGGCGGACGGTTTCCGTGCCCACGGAGTCTCCCTGCCCACTGCTCGGGTTCTGACGACATACGAGGGAAGGAAGTGACAGGAGTCCCGTTCCTGCCCACCCTATCTTGGTTATAACGCCCCCAGGCATGTCTCCCCCCGGGGAGGTTACACCCCAAGGTGCTTTTAGCACATGAAGTCATAAACCTGTTTGGCATCGTGTCCTCCCCAAACGGGATGCCCACCGGACACTCGCAGGGGTGCCGAGCCAGCGTGGGAGCAGGACGGGGCCGTTGAGCTCACAATAGCCCTGACTCATGAGCAGCTCACTCCTTCATGCGGTCTTCCCCACCCGGCTGCCCCTGTGAGTCAACACCTTATTTAGCACCTCTGAGTGCAGAGATCCGTATTGGGGAGAAAGCCGGCCTGTTGCGGGGATGGCCAGAGTCAGGGGGCAGCGCAGCCTGGCTATGCCCCGTACTACCCCCTCCACCAACTGAGAGTAGCCAGGGCCACCTATGCATTTTGTAAAACCCAAATCTCTTACCTCCTATCCCTCTAGTTCTATGTGTGCGTGCGTGCACGCATGTGTGTGTTGGATTCATGGAATGAGCCCTGGTTTGGACGGTCAGGAGACCCAGATGGAAAGCCAGATCTGCCTCTTGGCTGTGCCTGAAGCCAAGCACATCACCTCTCCGGGCCTCTGCACTCCCATCTGAGGACTTGGGTGATAAAATCAGCCTCCCGGGTCTTCCTGGAGAGTGCAGGCAGGAGCCGGAGGTAAGCCCAAGAACAGTGGCTCTCCACTGGGGGCAATTTTGCCCCCTGGGGACACCTGAAATGTCTGGAGATGTTTGTAGTTGTCACTCTGGGAGGGAGAGGTGCCCCTGGCATCGAGTGGGTAGAGACCAAGGATGCCGCTGACCATCCTACAGGGCACAGCCTGGCCCCCCGGGGCAAACAGTGATCCAGCCCCAGACGTCAGCAGTGCCGTGGAGAAGCCCAGCCCCAGGGCACCATACTAGACGAGGCCGTCGCTGGAATTATCCCTGACCCGGGGCTCACCACGGCCTGGCCAGGCGGAAGGCCTCGTCCTGCCTCGAAGTCTAACGCTTGGTTTGTTCACCTTTTTGCTAGGGCCGCCGACAGCCGGGGGAGTGCTGGGACACGCGCAGCTGGGCAGGGCACAGAGCAAGATGTTCCTTCTCGTGGGCAGGGGCAAAGAGGGGAAACTGATGTTGGGAAGGGCCCTCCGAGCCTCTTACAAAGGAGGCTCTCTCGCGGCTCAGTCCCCTCTGGCGTCCCTTGTCACCCCGTGCTCGTACTCCTGGGATTATTACAACGCCAGCAAAGACCTAAGAGCGTAACAGCAGCTAACATCACAATATAACGAGGGGGCAGCACGGTGGCAGGTAGGGTGAGCCGTGAAGCCCAGAGCTTCCCATAATAAAATGTCCCATTTAGACTAATGAAGCTGGTTTTTATTCATGAGCGGGGAATTAATCCTGTGGTGAGATCTGTCCCCTTGGGGTTTTAATGATGAGACTCACTGAGTCCAAAAGCAAAAAGTGCAAAGCTGATGCAACAGTATTTCTAGAGGGCCAGTTTAGAAGCAGTTAGCAACTCCGAGCAGAGACACGGTCCCAACAGGATGGCCCACAGGAGATGGCATGAGGCAGGAAACCAGCAGCTAAAATCATCACCAGACCGGGGAGGCTTTAAAGTTCCAACTTGGGGGAGAGCTCGGCAGAGAAGAATCCCACTGCTCTCCTTGGTTTGGGGGAATGTTGTTCGTACTTTTTGGTCCCTGAAATCCCAAGACCCACGCAGTCCCAACCCAGGTCACAGTGGCCCCGGGGACAGGATCCATCCCTGTTGGCCTGTCCTTTCTGCTCTGTGCAGAGGCCACCCTGCAGGTCCCCTCGGCCTGCCGAAGCATCTCCACACTGCACCTGGGAGCCTGGGGGGGCGGCAAGAGGACGCAGAATGCAGGGAGAGAGGCAGAGCAAGGAAATGTGCTGATACGTAGCAGGGAGAGTGATGCTTTACGAGCAAGCTGGTGTCTGGACCCGGCTAAGTCATAAATCACAGAAGCAGGTGACACCGGGCTTCTTGGGCAAAGCCAGAGCAGGGGAGTGGGCGCCACCCTGCCTGAGAGATTGTCCCCCACTCTGTAGCAGCTCCCAGAAGGGCTCAGGCACCCCCCTCCCCAAGCCCACTCAGTCAGCAGTCCAGGCGTTTGGGAATGCCAGGGTACCCGGAATTGAGGAATCACAGTTTTGCTCCTTTTTCACAAATCATACCTCGGAGACTTCTGCAAGATCCTTTGTCACTTGAAAATAAATTTAGAAAGTCAGGGCATTACAGTTACACAATCTTGGTTGTTTACCAACAAGGGTAAGAGAACGAAGTTACATAATCCTGTGTGTGTGTGTGTGAGAGATTCTTCCCAGCCTGGAAAGCTCAAACTGGCCTCGGCGTGGCAGAGGCCAGGGAGGGCTGTTTGTGGTGAGGACTTAGCCGGCCTGGCACACTTGTCCAAACCTGCGCTCGCCGTCCAAGATGCAGACAAAGGGTCCTTGAGGGCCACTCAGCGCCCACTGGCAAGGCTTACCCCAGGACAGTCTGATCTTACTACCCCTCTCAAAGTTCAAGAGGTTCACAAACTTGAGCCTAAATGGGGGTGAGGAGAAGGGAAGGTCACGACAATGACAAGATGACAGTAGCAGGAACAGTGGTCCCCACCGCCCAGCCTCCCCCGTGCCAGCTGCTGAGCCCCAGCTTCACGCACACTGACGTTCACGGAAGGAGACGCAGGCTCTGTGAGGCTAAGGACGCCTGGCCCAGGTCACAGGGCTGGAAGGTGCCAGAGCTGGAGCCAGACCCCACCCCATCTCCCCCGCCCCCATCCTGTCTGCTTTATGATCGCTCCTGTAGGCCCGGAATGTTCCTCAGTGGCCGTTTGACAAGCAGCCATTGGGCATCGAGTGTATGAACCCAGTGCAAAATGGGTAAAGGAAGCTCTGTGGTCAAGGGCTGAAGTGCTTGAGTGAGGGGCAATCCAGGATGACTGCCTGGAGGAGGTGGCTTTCAGTGCACACCCCGAAGACCCAACAAGATGTATGGAGGCAGAGGAAAAGGAGACTTTATTCCCACTGGGCAGAGTTGCCAGGGTGGCCCCTGGGGGCTACACCTGGGCATGGCTGCCCCTGGAGACTTGTGTCATCCTCCTGCGGGGATGGTGGATTAAAAACCTGTCCTGGGGAGCACCTCCCATGGGCCAGGTCCCTGCTCCTTAGGGATGAAAGCAATCCAAGTCACCGTCCCTCCCTCAGGGAGGGAGTAGAGCGACCCAGGAGGAGTGCAGGCAGCTCTGCATGAACCCCAGGCCCCTTCCTTGTGCCCCTCTGCACAGTGAGGCCCACGAGCCTGGTCACGGGAGAGGAAGCTTCCATAAATGGGGGCTCAGAGAGACGCGTACATGGGGGAGCCACAGAGGGAGCAGGGCCAACTGGAGAGGGTGGGCCCTCAGGAAGCAGGGGAGGCTCCCTGGAGGAGGTCAGGTCTGAGTGGCCGCAGAAGTCCCCCAGGGCGAGGAGGAAGGGGCAGAGAGAGCATTCCCACGCCAACCTCCGAGGGCTCCCTCCCCTGCAAGGTGACCTGACACGAAGTGCGACGTTTGGAGACTTTTATTAAAGGTGGGGGCTGTCGGAAGTTTTCTCCCTGGGATGCAACCTTGGCCACCCTCAAAAACCCCAAGGGGCACTTTCGCGGATACAAAGAAAACCTGGAGGGGCCGCAGGCAAGGAGCGCTTTCTTCCCGCGTTCAAATTTCTTCGCAAAGTCTGAGCGCGCGGCCGCCGCCCCTGCCCCCGCGCGCAGCGGCGCCGGCCGCCCGGGGCCGCAGGGGGGCGGCCGCGGGGCGCGGGGCGCGGGCCGGGCGGGCGGGCGGCGGGCGGGGCGGGAGGCCCGGCCCCCTGCGAGCGCGCCAACGCCGCCCGGTCCGCCCGCAGAGGCCGCCGCGGCCGTGGATGCGGAGGGCGCGCCGCCCGGCCGGCCCGGCGCCCAGGCGGCCGCGATGAGGGTCAACGACAAGTACTCGACGCTCCCGGCCGAGGACCGCAGCGTCCACATCATCAACATCTGCGCCATCGAGGACATCGGCTACCTGCCGTCCGAGGGCACGGTGAGTGCGGGCGGCCGCGCCGGGAGGGAGGCCGCTCACCTGCGCCGCGTGCGCGCAGGGAGGTTGGGGCGGGGGCTCGCGGGGCTCGGGGCGCGTGGGGAGCGCCCACCCGCGGACGAGGCGCCGCCGTCCCTGGGGGCAGGAGCCCGAGCGTGCCCCGGCTGGGCCCCGGCTGGGACGCCCCCTTTCCGTGGGGCTCGGGGCAGCGGGGTGGGGGGGGATCCGCGAGAGGTTGGCAGCCTCTGCGCCCTGGTGGGGTTGGACGCTCCGGCGACTGCCTCACCTGCCCGGGAGCACGGAGTTCCCGGGAACTCCGTGTCCCGCAGGGGAGCGCTCAGCGCCCCGGGGAGCTGGGGGACGCCGGTGGGTCCAGACTTGTTTCTGCGCAGGTCCAGTTCCCTGCCGGCGCCTGCGCCTGGTGCAGGGGGAAGCGAGTGCCAGCTGGCCACGTGGTTGGGGACCCCTGTGCGGGGTCTGCTACCCCCACCATTCTCTGCGGGGCCAGATCCAGAGGGCAGAGGGATCCTTGGCGGGCAGGCCTGGCCAGTGAGGGATTTGGCTTAAAGTGAGAACAGTTTGCCCCAGGAGGGAAGGGCTGAGAAGGGCCCCTGGGGGAAGCAGAGGGGACCCCAAGGTGCTCAGTCTGGACCAGAGAACAGACTCTCCTTTCTCCCCCGCCTCCTTCCCGCACAGCAGCTGCCTGAGGTCCTGGACTTGTTTCTTTGCTCTGACCTCGCCAGGATCCAGGCCTGCCTCTGCAGCCTCAGGACTGGAGAGCCCGGGCTTTGGGGAGGTGCCTGTGGGATGGGATCCTGGCCTGGTGGCTAGCTGTGTTCCAGGGAAGGCAGAGACCCTCAGGCCCTGCACCCCTTCTGCTGCCGAGCTCGCACAGAGATGCGGGGGGGGGGGGGGGCATTGGGAACCAGTGTGGATTGAAAGGGGTGCCTGCCTGTGATCAATGCCGTTGGCCTTCGAAGCTCAGAGCCATCATGTCAGCCAACACTGTGTGCCTGCTGTGGGCCAGGCTGCGGGAACCCACAGCGAACGAGACAGGGGAGCGTGCCCATCTGGGGCTGGAGGAGGTGCTGATGGAAGGGGGCCCGGGACAACGGCAGAGGGACACTTCTGTAGCAGCCGGCCTGCGGCTGAGGATTAGCTCACTTAATTTTCACAACTCTGTAGGGTCCGTGCTGTTTCTGCCAGTGAGGCCACTGAAGCCAAGAGGGGAGCCACCCACCCGCTGGGTGGAGAGCTAGCAGGGCCAAGACACAGAAGCAGGGGGCCATGGGCAGCCTGCAGAGGAACGGACATCCTGGAGGAGAAGAAGCTGGTTATATCCGTAAAGGGGGTTGGGCGGGGCCTCTCAGACAAAGAAATCTCACCTGGGAAGACCCAGAGGGGGAAACGTGGGGACACCAGTTAGAAGGTGCGAGAGACAGTGACAAGGAGTGGACATTCCAGAGGTAGATGGCATTCGACATGATGACGGGGTAGACCCAAAATAAAGACTGGAGCCCTTATCAATGGTGTCTGGACTTGTAGTTCAGGAACCTGTTGCTTATGTGGATCCAGAAACTCTGTCTTCCCCAACCCCTGGCAAGGGCCACGAAGTCTGCAAAGACTTGGCCCTCCGTTTGAGGTCTCCATGGTCTGGAAACACATAGACAAGCCCCGATGAGACTGTTGACTTATTTTGCACACAGCTCTTACTGTGGGCAGGTTTGGGGGGCTGTGAATCGGGGGCACTGACCGCAGGGAGGACAGGTGGCCAAGCAGTGTCCTGCCAGGCAGACAGGAAGCAGCAGCTCTAGGAGCGGGGGGGTGGGGGGGCTGCAGGGCAGGCAGCATGATAGAGACAGCCTCCCAGGGCATCCCCAGCACAGCTCAAGCCAATGATTGTTGCTCAGTCATTACCCTGAGTCACCTGGTGAAGGCGGCTCTATGCAGGCCAGAGGGCGTGGCTGCGTTTCAAGGAGTTCCCAGACAGGCGTCCGTAGGTGCCCCTGTGGTGTCGGTGGAGTTTAAGTTGGCCACCGGAAGTCCCAATCCCAGGCAGGGATTGCACTTGCCAGCCAGCGCCCCGGGGCCTCTTCTCGACCTGTCATTACCAAGTTTAAGGGTAAAAATCATCTCATGGTTTCTGCACAACAGGGTGCAAGAAATGACTTCAAAAGCCAGGGGCCAGGTTGAATGCAATTTATTTCACTGAGTTTTCTTTGTGTTTATCTTTGGGAGTTTCTACTTTCTTCCTGATGGTTGTCAGTGGCCCTGACCCATATGCCCCAACAAGTTCAGACACCCCAGAGAGGAGTACCGGGTGTTGGCTTCGGCCTGCCTGCAAAGGAAGAGCACCTCTCTGTTTATTGGCAAGGGGGGATGGCCTGTTTATAGGTTGTGCGGTGTGCCCGAGGATCCTACATTGATTTGTAGTGCCAGTGATTTGATTTTAAGATTGGGGAAATGAGAGTAAAGTTCCAAAGTGTATTCAAAGAGTCCCCGAACCCAAAGAAATGTTGCAGGTTCCTGATTTCATTTTCCCCATATTAGGAACAAGGGAATGTAGCAGATTCTCTGAGCATGATCGTTTAGACTTGTCCTGGCTTTGGCTATTTCACACAAACGTGTGACTTCAGCTCCCGGAGCTCTGGTTCCAAGCAAGAAGCCAGAGAGACAAGTGCTGGTCCCAGTCCAGCATCCACGGTGTGGACACGGGGTTCCTTCCCCTCCCCTCTCAGAGCTGGGGAAGGGAGCCTGGAGAGGCAGATGTGGACCCGACGTAGACTACCCTCTCGCTGCCTGTGGCGTGGGGGGCGGTCCCGCTGTGGAGCGGACCTCTGTCCCCTGACGCCCTCCGGCGTGACCTCAGGAAGCCTTTTTTCTTCTACCATATTTCCCGTCGTCCTCAGGGAAGCTCCTTCTGGGAGCATGTCCCGCCAAACACTCCGGATGATCCTCAAAATACTTCCAGATCTCTCATGAATCGTGTCCACTCAAGACTTCTGTGACTCAGGTCGAGGAGATGTTTTTGTCCCCCACCTTACAGATAGAACAGCTGAGGCTCAGAGCTGGGGAGCGTTGTGTTTAAGTTGCTGGCCGGGCTGGGCCTAGGCCCCGGTATCCTTGATCTGGTGGCCCCTGCCAGGAACCATGCAGAACCCAAGCTTCTGTCATTCATGTGTGCCTACATGCATTCATTCATTCATTCCATAGCCACATCAGAAAGACGAACGAGAGGTCCCCTGCCTTCAGAAAAGGTGGGCTGAGGGGCCACCTGCCCCTTTCTTAAGGATACGGAACGGAGAACATTTTGAAGCTTTTTTCAAGCTTTTGAACTGGAAGGTTATACACAGAGTCTAACCCATATCCTTCCTGCTGCAGGTTAAATCTTTATCTCTTTGTCCCGTCCTGCACAAAAAAAGCACCCACTCCACTGCTCAATGGAAGGGCCCCAGAGAGACACATGGCCACCACGGAGACTACCTCTCTGGCTCCCCCGAAACCCAGCTCAGATTCACTCTCCAGACCCTGGGCTCTGCCTTGCTCGTGTACAGTGTGGTAGAAAGGGACCCCAATCTTTCTGTTTAAAGGTTGCTAATCCCTTACCCTTAGATAGGATCGCCCCCATTTTATAAAACTAAGACCCAAACAGTGAAGCACCTTGTCCAGAAGCACAGAACAAATCAGGGACAGAGCCAGGCCAGGGAGGGAAATGTGGGACTCTCACAGCAGGGCGCCAGAGCTTTCTGCTGCCTCCTGCTGGCCCCAGAAGCGCATCCAACTCCCTTGGTCACTTAACAATCTGGATCCTGCACTGCCACCCTCTTTCACTTGTGGTCCACTTTGACCAGGAGATCGTCCTCCCTTTTAGTTCTTTATTTGTGCTCATCTCAATTCCCAGTTAGAGCACACTTCTCTTGGGGGTTCACCACATGCCAGGCCCTGTTGTAAACTCTTTACATACAGAGCATGTTTTATACTCCAATAACCCTAGGAGGGAAATCACGTTGAACGGGGGAGGTCCGGTTATTCCCCCTGACCCTCACGTTACACGGAGGGCTCCAGAAGGATCAGGAGATTATACTGTGCACCTGGGATGCCACAGCTGCTCTTAATGCAGATGGAAGGACAGTCATTGTGGATGAGGCCTCTGGGCCACCACCGTGCCCCCGGGGGGAGGGAGATGTTTAGGGGATATGTCTGCTCTCCCCCAGGCTGTCAGGCCCCGAAGGCTCTTGATCGGGCCCCAGCAGGCAGGTGGTCATTGTTCAGTTTTGAATCTGGCAACCTTTTCCTGTCTCATGATGGTGGAGGGTTTTTGGCTGTCCCCCAGAGTAATTTCCCTGCTCTCTGACCTGATGGGCTCACTCTGAATTTCCTTCCCTCTCGCTAGGGGGTTTTTGTCCGCTTTGTTCAATATCAGCCATTATTCCAGCCAACCATGGGCCTGTATGGGGCCTCCACCAGGACCAAGCCCTCCGTGTGTGTGTGTGTATATAGCAGATTCTAGATGGAGGTGTGTTAGGGGCAGTTGCTGGCCCAGCTTCGGGGTCCCCACCACCCTGTTCAGGGGCCCCTGTGAGTGAAGAGCTTGTGAATAGATGTCTTCAAGGCGGCCCCGGCCCAAGCAACCTGCACTGGCCGGAGGGGGCAGGGACCTCCAGAGCACTGAGGAGGCAGGATCTGTCCCCTGCCTGGGAAGCTAGGTAGGATCACAAAGCACAGAGAAGGGAGGCAGGGCGTGCAGGTGGGGAGCGCAGCGTGCGCAAAGTCAAGGAGCAGGGACGGGGATGTCCTGACTCCAGGTAGCCCCGGGGCAGTGGGGAGAGGAAGCTGGGGAAGGTAGTACAGGCAGGAGCTATGCACGGACGCCTGGCCCCGCTCGGATGATGGAAGGTCCCCATTCGGAAACAGGGATGAGCCCCTCGCAGAGGCACTGGGAGCCTGGGTGCCCAGGAAGCAGGTGTGCTCTTGCCCGGAGACCCTGCCCGCCCGGAGACCATGCGTCCGCCTTGTCTGGCCGCCTCCCAAGCCCTTGCCCTGCCCGGCAGCAGCTGCTTTCCCTGAGCGCCCGCAGTGTCTTCCACATGCGGCCGCGGGTCTGGGTTTCCTGCCCACTGCCCCCCGCCCCCCGGAGGAGGGAAACTGCGGCTCCCCCTTCCCTGACCTTCCCGTGGCATTGAGAACCAGCGCTTGTTGGCGCTGGGATTGAGGGCAGGGGGCACAGTGTGGCACCCAGGGGCCGGTCCTACAAGTTAGAGGGAGCATCCACCCCATACGGCGTCCTGTGGCTCAGTCAGTCGTCCTGGCCACCAGAGGGGCAGCTTACATTGCCCTCCCATCTTGCAGAGGCGGATGGCGAGGACCAGAGCAGGTAGAGAATCTCTCCCAGGCCTCCTAGCTGGAGCGGGACCAAGCCCAGACTTATCTGAGGCCGCCCACTGCCCCACACGTCCCCTCCACTGTGACCTTACCTCCTGGTTCCGGGAATGGTTGGGGCAGGACTCCCCCTAGCTGTGTCCTTGGGCACGAGCATTGGAGAGGGCTCTTGGGGGTTGGCCGGAGGGGATTTAGCCCTGGTAGCACGGGCTGACTGCTTCACACATGTGAGCCCCACTCTCTCCGGGTCAAGTAGACCTACCCATCATGCCCCCTCACAGGGTCAGGACTCAGTAAGAGGACATGCCCCATGCTGAGCAAGAGTGTTACCCATGTCCCTGTTACTGTGGGGGGTGGGCAGTGCCCTGAGTGTGCAGACAGGACTCAGGGCTGGGCTCAGCCTCCCAACCGTGCTGTAACCCACCTCGCCTCATTGAGCCTCTGTGTCCTCCCTGACAAACAGGAGAACCACTCTTTCCCACCTCTCCTGCAGCATGACCCCGCAAAAGACACTGGGGTCTTCTGTGGACGCTGTCCTGGGCTGGGCCTCCCTTCTCCCCTTCCCCCACCCTACACACCCAGAGTCTCTGGACGGACACCTGTAAGAGTGGGCCAGGGGAGCACCTACACTGCGGGGTCCCGTGAAGACCACCAGAGCGGCACTGGGTTCCGTGGTACCGTGGGTGGGCGTGGATGGCTTACATCCAGCCGCCTGCCAGCTCCAGGTGCTGGCCGTGCCCTGTCAGGCTGTGAGCGTCCTGGGGCCAACCAGGGAGACTGAGATTCAGGGGAGCGACTCCCCCGCCCCCACCAGGGGTGAAGGAATCCAGACCCCACAAAGGCCCTGTCCAGACGCCCCTATCCCTCCTTCCCTGGGCAGATGCCACGTGGCAGGCATCCCCCCGCTTCTCCTCTTTCCCTCTCCTCTCTTCCCCTGCCCCTGAGCCGGACATTTGGAAGGACACCTGATCACATGGGCCCCCCCCCCCAGTTGTCCTTGTTGCACCTTGGGCCTAACCTAGACCACCAGCCCTGGAGTGAGGGACCCCTGCTGTTCTCCCGACCATGCGTACAGTGCTGTGGAGCCCCTCGCACTGGGGGCAGCCATCCCAGGGCTCCAGGCGACCCTGTGGGGAGACCTTCCAGGCACAACTCTGTCCCCCAGCCGTGGGGCTCAGGGCCTGCCTTTAGCCACAGGCCGGCCTTATGCTCCGTAGGGGAGGGCCTCATTCTCGGATGACAGTGCGTCTCTAGGACTGATAGCAGGAGTGGGGCGGAAGCCAGGGGATCAGGGGCAGGACGTGAGGCTCGGCTCCGAGGGCCGTCGGTGGTGTGGAGTTGCTGGTTAGAATACTTCCAGCATGATGTTATTTATTTTCTCTTATTGCTGAAGACCAGCTTGCCGATTAACCTCTCTGCCCTCGGTAACCAGCAAAATCCCACAGGAGTTCTAGAAATTCGGGTTTAGCGTTACCAGCAGCCATGCGTGATTGCAACTGCGCAGAGGTCCCAGTTTTTCATGCGCAGGCCCAGATTTCTATCTCACTGGCCCCCCGCCAAGCCCCCTAGGCAGAGAAGGAAACCCGCGCCCTGCCCCTATCTCTCGGCCCACCCCCCAGGGCACCCTCTGGTGCAGGAGCAGGTGGAGGCCACGTGCAGGGCAGGGAATTAACACCCAGGTGTGGGTGGATAACCACCCAGCTTCCTCACCCTCTGGGCACCAGCAGGTTGGAGCCCAGTTGCCCAAGGCAGTGACCCTCTGTCGGCCCCTCCCTCTGTGCCTGTCCCCCCCCCCCCCTCTGGTCCCTGAGACCACCTCTCAGGTAAGCCACTGAACCCAAATGCTCAACTCAGGGGCTGCTTTTGGGGGAACCCAAACTAACAGGCAGCTAGCTAGTGGCTGAGCTGGAGCCAGGCCAGGTGAGGGCCATTGTGGGCCCGTGGCCATTTTGATATGACGTTGCCATGCATTCTGGCCATTGAAGGTTGAGATTTGCAGGTGCAGAACCTGAGCTCAGCTCTGCACTGCCCGGGACCCTGTGGGAGTGAGTAACGAGCACTTCTGGGAGTGGGGAGAGGGGTGGCCTTGCAGCTTTTCCCATTGCCTTTGCAAGCAGCCTGGTCCTTCCCAGCAAGCCTGATCTAGCTCCATAGAACCGGGGGCCCTTCTGAGCAGTGAGGCTCCAGCTTGGCCTCCACGTGTGATTATGGCGCATGTGTCCTTCTCCAAATGTCAGCTCCACAAAGACAGGGCCGCTGTGTGCACGGCTGTCCCAGCCCGGGACGGTGCTCGCACGGGGTGGGCACGCTGCACAGCTTTACTGAAGGCGGGCAGGGCGGGTGGAGGAAGCTGTCCAGTTTGGACCCTGCTCCCCTCCACAGGCCTGGCCGTGATGGCCTGACGGCCAGTGATTTGTCTTTCCCACCACAGTTGCTGAACTCGCTGTCCGTGGACCCCGACGCCGAGTGCAAGCACGGCCTCTACTTCCGGGATGGCAGGCGCAAGGTGGACTACATCCTGGTGTACCATCCCAAGAGGCCCTCGGGCAGCAGGACCCTGGCCCGGAGAGTGCAGCACAGCGATGCTGCCCTGGCTGCCCGCGGTGCCAGGCAGGACCAGCTCCTGCCGGGCAAGGGGAGCGTGGGGGCGGCAGGTGGCCCCGAGCCCCTGATGGACTACCACGAGGACGACAAGCGATTCCGCAGGGAGGAGTACGAGGGGAACCTCCTGGAGTCCGGCCTGGAGCTGGAGCGAGACGAGGACGTAACTATCCCTGCATCTTATGGGCTTGTGGGGTGGGCACACCCGCCGGGCCCCGCACCACCGTTTCCAGAAGCTGGTGTGGGGAGGGGCCCTTCTGGCTTTAGCTGGTGCTCTGAGAACGGCTGATGGAGAGGCTGCTCCTGTTGAGTTGGTAGCAATCGCTTATTAAGGTTTGGGGTTTGGGGGAGCCCCAAACCAGCGCCTGCCCCCCCAACGACATCTGCTCTGGAGGAGGTTAAGGCCTTCTCGGCAATGACCTCCAGGGTCACGGCACTTCCTGCTCTGGTCGTTCCTTTCCTGGGAAGACGTGCCCCTCCCTCCTGGGAGTCCTCTTGGTGGCTGACCTTGGCCCTTCTCGGGGCCTCAGTTTCTCAATCTGTCAAGTGGGGCGGTTGGTCTGGGTTGATCCCTGGGAGGCCCTGCTGCTCTGAAATCCCCTGACCATCACACTGTGTTCAGGAGCGCCTGTCCCTGGCAAAGCCTGAGAATCTTTCGAAGGAAGGTTTTCTGGGGAGAGTAAAGGCCTGACTCACTGGTGCACAGTGCCGCCCGGGCGGCGGGAGGGAAGGCAGCGGTGGTGGCAAGGGGACCTGGGCAGCCCTTGGGACAGGGGGTGCTTCTCTCAACCTGTCAGCAGGCTTGCGGTGTGCTCCGCTCCTTAACCTCTCTGTGCACGAGGGCGGGGGCGGGGCTTCCTGCCGTGACCGTCGCAGGACACGCCCATAGCCCGCCACAGTGCCCCTGTGCGGACTAACCAAGAATCAGGGAGTCTCTACACCACAGTAAGAGGGTCAGCAGGCTGCTGGGGGAGCCCTGAGCCAACTGCGGGTGTTTAAAGTAAAATCTGGTTTCAGTTTGCCGTTTCATCGTTGAGAACCTCCATGCCCTTAAATAATGAACACTTTGGGTCCAGTGATAAGGATGCCCTTGGGGTGCTTCGGCCAGCAGGCTCGTCGATGAAGGAGCTGGTGTGAGCTCGTTTTCATGCCACGTTGATAGTACCGGCCCTGAACGCACCCAGAACTGCTCAGTGGGGCCTCTTTCTCTGCGGACCTAGCGGCCGAGGGGTCTTGTGATGCACGCGGAGTATTTCTCTGGGTGGCCTTGTCCTTCCGAGGCTCGGCTACCTGGCAGATGTGGATTTCTGCAGCAGGAGTGGTCCCCGTCGGGGTGTGAGGGTGTGCGAGCGTCGATGACAAGGCAGGTCCCGGTGAGCCTGCAGGGTCTCTCCCACACACATGTGTGGGTCCTTCAGGGTTTTCTGTGACCTGACACTTGGCCCCTAGGGAGAGGGGAGCAGGCAGGTCTCTGACTTAGGGCATGGTTCCGCCCTGCCAGCCCCCTGCTTTTTGTGCAAACACTGGGTCACTATTCAGACTCTGCCCCAACTGTTGACAGTTTATAGCTGGAGGAAGAGACAGGCTCTGTCAGAGTCGGGAGAGGCTGCGGCGCCCTCATGCAGAGCTGTGAGCTTGGGCTGTGGTCTGCACCTGCCTGGTCCGCTCCCTGAGGGATGCACTCTCTGCTCCCCTCATTCTTTTCCCACGACAGCTTCAGAGCCCTGTGCTCAGAAGGCCCCCCAAAGTCTGGGAATTCACACTGGCCCTGGACAGGTCCCAGAGCCTCTGCCTGTCCCTCTGAGACTTGTTGGCAGCTCAGGCCTCAGTTTCCCCTTCTATAACACGAAGATAACCGTAGTATTTACGTCACTGGGTGATCGTGAGTAAAGGGCAAGGTACTTAACGTGGCAGATTCTCCTGGGGCGTTGTTAACATCAAATCATATATTACGGTTCCTGCAGAGGGGGAGAGAGAAAGGAGCCTTTCCAAGTCCAACCAACTACAACATCCCACATACCTTTCTTGAACCTCCATCTTCTCAATCATGACTTTGAAATAAAAAGCCAACAAACATAGAGACAGTGGTTACTGTCACCAAAGAACATCCAGTTTTCCCAATAAGTGACCCAAGAATTTCATTGATAGTTTGGCTCTCCAGCAACTGATTGGGGCCGTTTTAAAAACGAAAGCGGTACGGTGCACGGCTCCAGTTTCCAAGGTGGCTGAAGCCGGGGCTGAGCCGCGCCCGCTGGAGTCTCTCGCGTCCGAAACTGCTTTCCGAGGGCCCTGTAATTCCCGAGCTTTCATCTGACATGAACAAGGCCCAAGGCTGTTGGAAAAACCCTCCGTCTGCTGCTGCCTGGTGCTCTCCCCGCCCTCCAAGACACAGGCAGGACCAGAACCTGGTTCAGAGGCGGCCTTCGAGGGGTGAGCACGGACCACTGCCAGCATGATTAACAGCTCGTGGCTGTCGCCTTTATTTCGGAGAGAGAGGCCCTGGCTAATGAATCATTCCCGGAGGCGTGCTCTGATTACGAGGAGCCAAGGGCTTATGTGCACTTTCCTGGGGAGAAAGATCCACGCCTTCCATCAGATACGCCGACGCCAGATGAAGGTGGAGAATCGGTCTTGAAAGCGGGGCTTCTCTGCCCTGGCGCCATTGCTGTTGGAAATTCAGCAGCAGCCCTTCCCAGTAGCACCCCAGGGTCACGATTACCAGAAATGCTCCCAGATACTGCCGGATGTCCCTGGGAGGCAAGATCGCTCCTGGGGGGGGGCCCTCTTGAACTCTGCTGGCCCAGCCTTCTGCGGCCATGACCAGGAAGCTGCCCGCAGGCCGCCGGCGCGCAGAGGTCACCTGCCTTTGCCCCTCGAGAGGCCAGTGGGTACGCCAGGCTGTGCTGTTCCTGGGCAGAGCGGGCCGCCAGCCCCGCGCAGACGGGGCGTCTGTGTGCTTGCCTTTGACCCGAGTCTGGAGGTTTATTGTGAAGATGTCCTGCGAGGACCCACGGAAGACCCTCCGGACTGAGGGCACGGGCAGGCCGGCTCTCATGACACCAAATGGGCAGTGCCCCTGGGGCAGCCGTAGCAAGTGAGCCCAGGTCAGGGGCTTAAAGCAACCCAATGGGGTCTCACACAGTTCCGGACGTCAGAAGTCCAAATTCCAGATCTCCACAGGGCTGGGCTCCCTCTGAAGGTTTTTGGGCAGGTTCTTCCTGCCTCTTTCAGCTTCTGGGGGGCCCCAGGTGCCCCTCCACCCTCTGCCTCTGCCTCCAAGCAGCCACCTTCTGTATGTCCTTCTGCATGTCCTTCTGCGTCTCTTCTCTTCCTGCAAGGACACCAGACGTTGGACTTAGGGCCTGCCCTCCTCCCGTGTGACCACATCTTAATGTGGTTACACCTGCAAAATCCAAATAAGGTCCCGTTCTGAGGTTCTGGGGTTGGGACATGGAAGTCTCTTTGGGGGGAACCCCATTCACCCCCCCCACAGCAGCTGAGAGTGCACTGGAGTGGTTCTATCAGGACTGGGGGGGCTCACGCAGGGGCCCCTGGAGGTGCCCGCTGAGGTGCGGCGGTGACTTGTGGTGGGGGCCACATCAGCGCAGGTGGCCTTGAGGGTGAGCTCCAGCCTTGGGCAGGCTGCCCCACTGCAGGGCCCGGATGTGCCCAGGAACCCACAGGGGGTCCTGTCAGAGTGCAGGCTCTGACTCAGCGGGCCTGGCCTGGGCCTGAGCTGTGTTCCTAACCAGCTCCCTGGGTGTGTGGTGGCTGCTGAGCCTGGACCATCCTTGGAGAGGCGAGGAACGTGCAGGCCTCTTCCCCCATGAGCCAGCAGAAGCATCCGCAGAGATGGGCCCGCCAGTGTCCACGCAAGCCCTGATCCACTGCTGGGTACCCCAGAGGTAGCCCCAGACAGAGACTGGGCCAAGAGCCCACAGAAGAGGGAAGACACACTCTCACTCATAACCCCCGGGTACAGACAGACAGAAGTTGAGCCTGGACCGTGGGTCCCCCATCCTCCCCCTCCCCAGGCACCGTGGGCTCAAAGGAGCCGAGTTTGAAAACTGCTTCCCAGACTCCCCGAAGAGAAAGACCTTGGGTGTCAAGACAGGCTTCAGGGCCTCCATCCAGGGGGCAGCCCTAAACGTCCATCTCACGCATGAGGGCCCAAGAGGAGTCCCGTGTCAGAGACCCCAGGACGGCATGACGGGAAGTGGCAGGAAGGGAGGAGAGCGTCTCTCTGTCCGTCCCTCTGACAGCCGTGGGGTCAGCTTCCGGGCTTCCCATTAGAAGGGAGAGAGCATGTTTCCTTGCAACTGAAACCAGCATTTTTCAAGTCTGGCCTCAAAGCCTTGGCTGGACGTTATTTATGTCCGTGGGTAACTGCTGAGAAGGCCACACACCAGAGTCCCGGCTGTGTGTGCCGGGGTGGCCGGGGCCCACCCTGCCCCGAGGTTGAACTTGGCCCCGGCTTTGGCAGAACTGTTGAGGCTCCGGATGCTGGGACCCTGTCAAGTCTGTTTGCTTTCATGGTGCCGCTCGGGGCTCACCCCTGCACCCAGGCTGGCCCGCTGACGTTTCTCCGCATTCCTGCCCCGGAGCTGGCGGGGGCCTCGGGCAGCAAGTGTTTCCCATCTTCGTTAGCGTGGATGTTGCTTTTCAAACGCCAGCGAAGGGGAGCGGCTTTTGTTTCCAGACCAGGCTTCGGGGAGCACAGCGGGGCCGTGAGGCCGGCCTCCGAGCCCCCATGCGCTTCAGACCCGCTCGGCCACTTCCTGGAGGGACAGCCTGGGAGCAGGTGGCTTCCCCTCTCTGGGCCTCGGTTTTCCCACCTGTGAAATGGAGGAGGTGATGGTACTTCTCTCCCCTGGGGGTGCTGGGCCAACGCTGAGGAAGTGAACACCTCCTTGCCCGCAGCCCTTGGGTTCAGGCTGCTTTTCCCAGCTTCCCTCCTGCCGGACGGGAATCAGATGGCAAATCTGGGCACGGCAGGGTCCCTCAGTACGTGGAGACCCCTCGTGCACCACGCGGACGCCAGGTGACCGTGGCAGGTGGTGGGGAGTGTTACCAGGGGCACAGGAGAGAGAGGGGCCGGGTTTCCTACAGATTCCAGCAGGTGTCCAAGGCAGGGGCCCGAGGTGGCTCTGGAGTTTGGCTAAC